GGAAAGTCAGTCCGATTCTTCTTCCTCTGAACCTTCCAGTATCGATAAATCCAGTGAAATAAAATTGTGGGCAATTAAAAATGATGTGTCACAAGTGGCGCTCAATGATTTTCTGCGTACACTTAGAAAAATTGGTGTTAGTGACTTGTCTTTATCGGTAAAAACTCTTCTCGAAACCACTTTAAAAAAGTAAAGATATCCAAATGATTCCAGGCGGCGAATTTTTGTTTTTAGGCATCCAGTCACATTTCGAATCGAGAGAATTTTATTAATTAATATTGTGGCACATTCTAGGTAGTATAGTTGGTTACTCAAACGCAAGTCCATTTTTAATTGCTTCCTTTTCAGGAAAACAAAATCCATTAAGTGGAAGTGACTTCATGAACGATTTTTGTGAGGAAATTATTTATTTAAAACAAAGAGGCTTTAAGGTTGGTTCGTTTCAAAATTTAGAAAAATTTGATGTGCGAGTGTTTATTTGCGACTCACCAGCACGAGCTTTTGTTTCAGGAGTTCAGGACCATAATGGCAAAGATATTTGTCCCAAATGTTTCCAGGTAAGGAAATATGTATATAGAAAAGCGGGTATCCTTTTCAAAAGAGATAGGTAAGTTACGAACTGACTTGTCTCTCAAAAACAGATCTGACCAGGCGCATCATAGTTCAACTTCAAAGGGACAAGACAATAGAGCTGTTCAGGATGTTATGGAAAAGGTCTTGGATTTGCAGTTGGAATTGCATTTGCAAATTTTTTGCTTGCTGCCATGGCAACCGTGTGCATTTTATTGCTGTGAATTTACAAATGCAACGAATATGCAAATCTCCTGGGTTCCAGTTTGTAGAGACCTAAATGAATTTAGTAATTGGAAATCAACAGAGTTCCGTCAATTTTTATTGTATTCTGGAATATTTGTGTTAAAAAATATCATTTCCGACGATTTGTTTTATCTATAGGGTAGGTTAAGGAGCTTTTCGGCCGATTCAAAATAACGTTCCGGTTTGGGTTTCGGTTTTGCCAAGTGTTTCGGTTTCGGTTTTGGTTTCGTTCTTCAAACTATATTTCGGGTTTGGTTTCGGTTTCGTTCCGGTTTCGGTTTTTCACAGAAATTTTGTTGATATTATTTAAATCACAATGGGTCATATGCATAAAACTAATGCACACTATTTTCAATAGCAATCACTTTAAAGTTTCAAAATCGGTATGCATAAAAGCATTGCGCTGTATAGTAATCACTACTTGAGTTTACTACTTCAATTTCGAAAAAGTATATGCTTGTAATTAAAATTCATAAAAATTGTAATCACTTGAAAAAATAAGTGTTCGCAATTTGATTTTTAAGTGTGGGTAAAGGTAGACTACGTTTTTATTCCATATCATGGCGATGTTCCTGAATCTTGAAAATAGAAAGAAGACTTTCAAAAAGAGACGAACTGGGGAAGATTTAACATATCGGGCGCTTTATCGGTTTTCGCGGGAGAATGTACATTGGCTTTCATCTAATTTCTTGCCAGAAAGTCACGAGACCCAATCAAATGAGCTTAAAATGCAGACTTTCTTGCGGTACATTGGTGATCCGGGCTTCCAAGTAAATATTGACTTTAATGGATTTGCATATTTAACCCGAATTTAGCTGCTTTCTATAAGGTAGGCGTTAGTGAAGATGTTGGAATCCACCAAACGACCGTTTCCAGGACCGTTTGGGAAGTTTCTCGTTCAATAGTAAAAAAGTCATCCGATTGGATAAAGATTCCTCAAACCGAACAGGAAATGAACTTGGCAAAAACAGAATGGCAAAGAAAATTAAAGTTTCCAAATGCAATCGGAGCATTGGATTGCACTCATGTACTAATATTAAAGCCAAGCATCCATGGGGACGAATTCATTAACAGAAAGGGATTAGCATCGTTTATTGTTCAGGTTACATGTAATGCGAATGAGAAGATAACAAGCTTTGATTGCAGAAGGGCAGGATCCGTGCACGACTCGAGAATTTGGAAAAATTCCATAGTTCGTGAACTTTTAGATGAAAATCCTGCAGGTGCAATTTTGTTGGGCGATGAGGGCTATGCCATTACTCCATGGCTGATGACCCCATATCGTAATACCACGAGCTTTTCGCAAATGGAGTATAACAAACTTCATTGCAAAGAGCGGGTTATAATTGAGCGAGTGTTCGGTCAAGTAAAAAGGCGATTTACAATTTTGCAGTCGAAAATTCGAATATCAACTAATCGCATACCTACAATCATAGCTGCGTGCTTCGTTTTACACAATGTAGCGAAGTATCTAAAAGAACCTGATTTTGATGAGCCAATAGAAACCACCAATTTTGAAACCGGCTTAGCCTTTCCGATCCATGATCAAGCAAATAGCACCATAAGAAAAAGAGGTATACTGAGAAGAAATGAGATTGCGCGCTACATAAACTCCATTTCGAATTAAATTTCACATTTCTTATTATTGCAATATATTAATACTGGTTGTTTTCTTGAAAATGATTATGTATGTACATATGTATGTAGTATCATATAAAAAGAGATTCACTTACGGCCCTTTTCTCAACTAACCTTTAATTTAAAGCTCACTTTATATTTAAAGGTTGCTTTAAAATATATAGCTATGTCTGAAGTAAAGCATTTGTATATCGGTTTTGACGTATGTATGTTTCTTGGTTGTAAATCAATTTAAACCGATAATAAAATGCTTTACTCTAGACACAACTATAAATTTTAATGCAATCTTTATATATGTACATATAAGGTGTGCTTTAAAGTTAAAGGTTGCAGGAGAAAATGTCCCTTAGCGTATTTCTGCGTGCGAAGCTTTTGCTACCTTGAGCTGTTCTTCCATGACCTCTTCTTTTCTTGCGAACACTTATAATTGACGCAATAGAACAAGCCTTTGTAGAAGCACATTGGACAACCCTCTCGTTTCATCAGTTTCCAACCTTCCTAGAATCTTTAAAATATGTTTATATGGAAAGGATCGAGGCAGAGGTATCTATGCAAACAACTAATGTCAACGAACCTTTTCCG